TCCATCCCATAATAGTCAATGTAATCCCTTTTTTATTTCTTTGACCCCCATCAACCATCTCTGACACTGTCAGACCACTAACCCTATTTTGTATGAGTGCTTTTCTTTCCCTTGCCCCCCCCCCAAACAATACTTTTGGATATTTTTCATAATTTGTTTTTGAACCTTTCTTGTGATTTTTTAAATTATTTCACCTTGGAATAGTAAATGATCTGCAGTCAGACTGTGTTCTAAGACAGTGGAACACACGTCTGCTCAGTCGAGCAGTGGAGTTCCTCAAAAGTGGCCACTGCAAGGCAGTGTTGTGTGTAAAATAATTTTACAGTGTCTGAGATAACTCTGCAGCAGTACAGTACTGCTGAGCATGGCATAGGGAAGGAGAGCAGGCAGAGACCAGTATGCATACTATAGGACAGAACAACGTCAGACGTTGACAATAGTCATACTGTATAAAGATATGCAGAAATAATTTATGACTTTTTAGCTTGAGGCGTGTATTTTAAGGAGTCTGGTGTGAGTATTTATTGTCATAAATAACTTTAAAGTTTTACACTGATTAAGTATGAAAATGATTTATTATTACGAGATGTTGCTGGGATGAGGTGTAACATATGCATTCCCTGTGTAAAATCATGTAGTTTACAATGAAACAACACAAATTAATTAACATTAACATAGATTTTGTCATTATTAACTATTGTGTTTTAGCTTTAATAATAATAATAATAATAATCTGCTGTAATGTATTAATACATAATGGGTTTTTTTGCAGACAAATACATAAACACAGTCTTACTGAAGTATTTCTTGTTCAAACTTTTCCTTTATATGCATGTATTACATTTGGTGGTTACAATATATGGAATACATTGCATGTAACAGACATGTCAACTGCGATGTCTGTCAAGGAATCTGAGACATCTTCATTGTGTGAGTGAAGACAACATCCATCAACGTTGCATGAAAATAATTTGCCAGTCTTATTCAATCTACATTCGTCTTTGCCCTTGTTTTTTCCTTTTTTTTTTTTTTTTGCTCTACCTCCAAAACTCACTCAGATGAGACGCCACGAGATTGTTATCTCGCCGCGCCTTTGTATGAAAATCAAATTGGGAATTGCTTTTTTCCTTGATTCACTTTCATGCAAACAAAGAAGTTGTTTTCTTATTTTCATGTAAATGTCTTTTTTATAGGAGGCGACAAGTGTAATCAATCTTCCTCAAGACAAGGTAGGAGGGCCCGCCGAGGGGGGATTATTGGTGCTTAGTAGCCCGGGGATCATAAAACAAGGAAATTGAAAGTGATATTTAATTGACACTGCCATTTCCACTGCACAGCAAAGTCTTGTCCCCCCATCGCCACGTCTCACCCACGCACCAGGCCATCTCGCTTGCCGCAGGTAGAAAATTTCCTTTCAAACCCAGCACCAGAACCTGGAGAGTGAGCTGTCAATCTCCGAGCGCCGCGCTGTGAAAGAAAACCTGAGCGAACAAGGAAGTGAAAGTTTTATGTGGAGAAAAATAGATTTCAAAATGTCACCTCATCAATGTGGGGCAGCGTGCTACAGTGAAGTGGAACGCTCCAGTCTACACTCTGTATCTTTTTAAATAAATAACCTATTTTTAGTCAGCACACAGCACAAAGGAGCAGTTTAAATAATTTAAAGTACATGTTGTTACAAGTAAGAATATTTTTGTCTCACATAGTCTACCATTAAAATTCCGTACATCTTGACACTGATCCAAATTAAAGCCATATCAATGAATGGCTCTTCATCTTATTCTAACTGAGACAGTCCCAGGTTTGGAGCAGTAATGAATTGAAAGAAATGAAGCAGAATA